ATGGCAGGACTGCCATGTCCTCTATTGGTCGCTTTGACAGCTGATGCAGGATGGGCTGTAAGTCTGTTACTACCTGTAAGTCTGTTAAAAATTATTGATTTTTGTTACACCAGCACTTGATGAACAGGGAAATCCCTGTCATGAAGAAAATTTTTCAAGCAGCTTGTATAGATCTTTACCTGGGCATGAGCAAGGAAAGAAAAAAAGTCACGGACCTAATTAATAGCTCAGGTTGCAATTGCCCTGGAAAGATCATCAAGCTGAGAGAGCTGGGCTTGTTCAGACTGGAGAAGAGAAGGCTCTTGAAGGGGAGACCTTAGAGCAACTCCAGTGCCTAAAGGGGCTGCAGGAAACCTGGAGAGGGGCTTGGGACAAGGGCCTGTAGGGACAGGCCAAGGGGAATGGCTTGAACCTGCCGGAGAGGAGACTGAGATGAGCTCTTAGGCAGAAGCTCTTCCCTGTGAGGGTGCTGAGGCGCTGGCACAGGGTACCCAGAGAAGCTGTGGCTGCCCCATCCCTGGCAGTGTTCAAGGCCAGGTTGGACACAGGGGCTGGGCTAGTGCAAGGTGAGACCATTTAGCACCATTTATAGCATCAATATTATCATCGTGACTGAAACTGGTACCCAAAATAGCTGAGTAGGGTGCAAATGTGGCATTAGAGCTCTTTGAAATAGTCAGCATCCATTACTGGCGGGGTGCAGCCCTGTTTGAGAACCCTTACCAGCTCTGAGGAGTGAACAATCTGGCACCATCTCTGAACTGGTGTCTCAAAGGGATGGGTCTGATAGAAGTCTTTAGAAAATTCAATTACTTCAGCACATGTTTATTCTGCAAATTTAACTTGCACAGATCAGCATATATGGAGGAGATTATTGTTTGAAAAATTGTCATCTATGTGGGCTTTAAAGACATCCCTTTCTTTCCTTGCTTTTTCATATGAAATTTCATTGCATTAATTTTAATGGCCTTTTAATTTTCTGTGCAGGTTTGACATTTGTATAAGAGATGTATGTCAAAAGAGATTGCTGTAGCAACTTCCTCTATGTCTTTTTAACATTTGCTGTGCAACAACTTCAAAGAATACTGTCTCCACTGAAAAACCTGTAGAAAAAAAAAAACCCTCACCATGAAACCAAAAACTTTAATAGCTCCTGGTGCTATTCCTCTAATGCAGTATTGATGGTACTTCTTCCTGCTAGTTGTTTTAGCAGGAAATCTCAGGTGCAGCCAGTGAGTGATAAGGAGAAAAAAAAAAGGAAAAGAATAAAGTGACAGACTTCTGAGGTTAGGTGTAGCATCCTGTAATGGGAATTGAAAATGTCTACAAAAGCATCTAGGCAAGCATGGATCTCAATAGCCAAAGACACACAAGTCTCCTGTTCAAGAAATATCACCTTCTAACCACTGCAAAATGCCCTGATCACTGCATAAATCCACCCCAAATCATAGAATCATAGAATAGTTAGGGTTGGAAAGGACCTTAAGATCATTCAGTTCCAACCCCCCTGCCCTGGGCAGGGACATGTCGCACTGAACCATCTCATCCAATACTCCATCCAACCTGGCCTTGAACATTGCCACAGATGGAGCATTCACAACTTCCTTGGGCAACCCATTCCAGTGCCTCACCACCTCACAGTAAAGAACTTCTTATATCTAACCTAGACTTCTCCTGTTTAAGTCTGAACCCTCTATTTCTTTTTCAGAATTCCCATTTTCGGGATATTAGGATGGGAAGCACAGTTCCTCCCTGCTGCTCCCTCTCTCAGGGGGTCAGAGATTTGCTCCTCAGTGTAGTGCAAGAGGGGGTAGCCATATGGGGACACAGCTGGGCTTCTCTTAAGTAGGTATAATACCATTTCCTTACCTCAGAAAGATACAGTAATTAATTATTCCTTATAAAGCCCTTAAAGATGTTTGGGTAGAAGTTGACATGTCAGTGCGCACTGCACTGATTTCACTGGAATGGCGATGATAAGAGGAGACTTTATGAGGCTGAAGCGAGAGCGTTAGTTTTCTCCGGGGCACACAGACATGCCTTCCGATTCATCTTATCTATCTTTCACCAACTAATACACACATCAGGGAGACGTAGATCCATTAGGAAACTGTTTTTAATTCATGAGGGCTGTGAAAAGAGGTGAACTGGTCCTACAATGGGAAACCACTTTCAAAGCTAGTGTGGACAATTTTAATCCTCCTTGTGAGTATAGATGTTTGTTTTATTCTCTACTACCAAGCTGCTTTAACAGCATCTTGAGGAGCCAAAATAATAACTCACAAAGTCTCCACATGTGGTATGAAAAGATTAGACATAGCTTAAGCAGTCAGGGATTTAAATCTGGACTGATAATACTGTATTGAAATTATATACCATAAAAGCAGAGAAAAAGGGGTCGTAGTTTGCTAAAAAGAAAAATAAAATAAAAAAATGGAAGGAGGGGTTGTTAATCTGGGGACAAAAACCTTCATATAAATCCAGCCCATACATTCCAGATGATTATTTCAGAAAGCTGGAACTTGTTCTGTTGATCTTTTAAACTGATTACTGAGCAAATGTATGCACTTTTAGAAACAGGCACTGACAGACATGAATTTCAGATGTCCTTTTTCATCAGCTTTTTCTTCTTTAACAATGCCAGATTGCATAATACTTCTGATACTTTCAAATAATGTGAAAATTCAATTTATGTGCAGCCATGTAATTTATTGTACGATAGTTACAGCATGTTCTAAAAGACAGCCACACAGAGGCTGACTGCCTCCCAGGACTACCGAGAGTTGTTTCAAAATGATAACATAATTTGGTCAACAGTAAAAAAGCACAAAGAAAAATGGAATGCAATATTTTCTACATGCTCAAACTTGACACTTCAGAGAAATCTTGAAGTTATTAAATAGGAAAGATATTCCAAATGTCTATGCCACATATAAAACAGAGCTGGTAACTGTGGTGCGGCAGCTTCAGATGGTATCAGCAGGGGGTAGCGGTGCCTGATTTTCATTGCAGCTTTGCCAGGGGGAAGGTATTTTCCTAACTGAAATGTTATTTTGCTTGTGTAAATATATATACACAATATATATATAGACTGCAAACACATACAGAGATGTGTACATGCACATTTGTGAGTGTGTGTCTAAGCAGTGATAAATTGCTAACAGATAAAATATGCTAATGGTTACTTACTACCTTATTTTCAGTAGGCTCAGATTCATAAACTGACTTCGAGAGGATCACAGAGTCATACAATAGTTTGGATTGACTTTAAAACTCATCTGGTTCCACAGGCCACCACCAGGGACACCTTCCACTAGAGCAGGTTGTTCCAAGCCCTGTCCAACCTGGCCCTGAACACTGCCAGGGATGGGGCAGCCACAGTTTCCTTTTCAAGAATTATTTCCCCAAAAGGGCTGGGGTACAACCTTGCTTCTGTTTGTACATGGCAGTAACTGCAAATAAAGGCAGGCATTGAAGACGTATCTAAAATTTAAGGCCATTGAGAGAAATAGAAATCGCCATATCTCGGGTGATTTTTCACTAACATCGCCACTCTTGGGGTTTGGGAAGTGATAACAGGGAGTAAAATTCATGTTTTGTGATAAACAAAGCTAAAGACACAAAAAAAATCACAGAATAATGTGAGTTGAAAGGTCCCTTTTCTACTTGTTCACAACACACCTTGCCTGCCCAGGCGATATTGCAGATGTTCTCACTAGCCGTAATAGACACCTTTCCTGGGGCTCAGATTAGCTGTGAAGGGAACAGAACGGTTCAAAAGCCACCTAAAGCTACCCCATGAGGCTTGCCTTATCACCGGGTTTGCTTCCAAGTGCTTTTCCCTCTCCACCCCCGTGGAGAGCTATTCCCACCTCCTCTACCTAGCTCCCAATGATTCACTTGCAGCAATGAATCAAGAAAACACATTTCAGGGTTTACAGCACAGCTGTTATCTTCACACAACGAGGGGTTTTCAGACAAATATTGCCTTTCAGTAGATTTCTGAACATAGCAGGGTGTGACGATGTAAAACAGCTTCTGTGCTTTTGTGCAGCGTTAGTTTTCCACCTTACTACAGAGGGTGAGTGCGTTCTGTCAGGGACTCCTGTGCTGAGCACAAAAGCAGCTCAGCATCGCACCATTTCCCCTACAGTTCGCCAAAGCAGTCTAATGACCATCCATACCACACACAGCACCCATCCCGATGCTGAGAACTAGATACCAATCCCATTTTCACTGTCTACTCTTCAGAATAATTCATTTTGCCATGGAAGGATTCCAAAAAGGTTTCAGTCCTCTCTCTACAACAGCCCTTCTTGGACCTTCCAAGGGAGAAAAACTGCAATAGAACAAACACAACCAGAAGGAATTTCTTTCTTTCTGGAGACTAGACATATGCAAATATGTACAATAAAATCAGACATAGAGAAAAAGTGTTTACTGAAAGATTTCACCTGCTTCAAAGGAATATAAAACACACTTACTGTTAACATTAACTAATAGAAAAATATTTGCTTTTAAACACCGATAAGCCAAAATGTTTTCTCCAGTAGAAAGTTTCTGTATCTTTCAGCAAGTTTATCTTTCATGTTTCCTTATAAAAAACCAACTCCTTATGTATGTTTTGTGTTATCTTCCATCCAGTTTATCATATTTCCTTGTAGGAAACCAAAGTGTTATGTACCATAGCACTGCTTTTGGTATCACTCACGCTGTCACGTAATAGAAGATGTGATGTGTGATCACCAAAGTCATGACACAAACAAGCAATACGCTGCTGTTAAGTTCTTGTAATAGCTGTAATAGTTGTCTTGCTCTGCAAGAACTATTACGAACTGAAAAAACGTTTTATTTACCGTGCATAAGGGCTGGGTCATGTTTTCTAAGAGCAGCTCTATGAAAACCTTAAACCATTGCACTATAAGTGCTGCAGGGCTGCAGCTCATCCCTCCAGCTCTTGCTACCACCCGCACCAAGACCCCACTGCTGTGCACACTCACACTCTGGCTGCGTGGCGACCTTGATGGGCTGCGAGCTCTCTCCTGGTCCCCACTCGTTGTATGCCACCACTCGGAAGGTGTAGGTTTCCTCTGGTTTCAGGTTGCCCACAGTAAGCTGGAGTGTTCCAGGCTGAGAAGTGTTGACTGCCCGTTCCCTACAAAAAACAACCCCGAAAAACCCACTTTAAACCACATTCGGATCTCAAAGCATTATTTATTTACGCAGTTGGTAGCCTGCAAGGTACAATTGCTTATCAAACTTAATTTTGAGGCGTGTTTGTCTATAGGGTTTAGATATTTATTTTTACTTTAAAAAGCTTAATTGAAGTAATAGGGCCCACTGGGAACAATGCCAGCACTACAAAGACAACATGTATTTTAACACTTCATAAAAACATAGAGGTCCTTGGTTCTTTGCCTTTCTTAACAGAAGAACAAAGGAAAACTGATGAAGGAAATGGCTATTCAATAAAGGAACACATCTCTGATACAGGAGGTGAGATGCATATTGGACTCTAAGCTTCCAGCTAATGAAAACTGTTTTTGGATTTTGCTGTAAATTGAGCCCTTGTTGGTGCTCCTGCTATAATTGTACCTGTAAAACCACCATCACCCCACACTGTTTCACAGGCAAAGGGACCACATGGAATTTTTAATAAGGTGGGGTCACCACTCACCATTTCAGAGGTCTAAAATGAAAATCCATTAGTGGAGTTGCACTATGCTCCCCACTGGCAAAACAAGCACCCAGGCAGTTCAGGAGCAGCTTTCTCTTGGTATCATAGAATTACAGAATGGTTTAGGTTGGATGGGACCTTAAAGCTCATTCAGCTCCAGGCCCCTGCCATGGGCAAGGACACCTTCCACTGGAGCAGCTTGCTCCAAGCCCCTGTGTCCAACCTGGCCTTGAACACTGCCAGGGATGGGGCAGCCACAGCTTCTCTGG